TTTTTTTGTATGTGGTGACTGCTTTTCATTTCTCCATTTTGCCTAATGGAGGTATCAGGAGGGCCAAACAGTAGGGAGATAAGAGAGAGAGGCTTAGAATTGCTTCCAGAATTTAGACAAAACACAGCATGGGCACAAGGGAAACCACAGTTCAACCTCGGATTTGTCTTACTCCAATAGAAAGCAGTAGCCAAGCAGGACATGGTGGCATATACCTATGATCTCAGTATCTTAAAAGCTGGGGCAGGAGGACTACAAGTTGAAAGTCAGTCTGAAAGAAAGGAAGGATGAAAGGAGAAGGGGAAGAAGGGTGAAAGAAATGGAGGGAAGGAGGGAGGAAGGAGCCAGTAACAGCCCCACCCTCTTCCTGTGCTGTGCATGTTCAGTAACTACCCACCTTCATCCCTGCCAGCTTCCTCTGACATCCCTCTCTGTGAGTGTGTGATGGAGCCTTGCCTGTCCCAGCCACAGTCACCACAAAATGCCTGAACTTCCTTAGCTGGTGGAACCTGGCTTTAACCTGGCCAGTCATTTAAGCAATAAACAGTTAGTCCTTTACTTGTGTTGGCATTTGGCTACTCCATGGTTAGTGCTGAAATACACCTTGAGATCTTAACTCTTTCCTGTGCCTTTTCAGAATATTTTAAGTGCATAAAATAAAATAGATAGGATGATACAGGAGAAGCAACTGTATCAAAAAGCAATAATGAAATGTTTTGGAATCTATGATTTCATAGCATGGCATTTCTTTATTAATGTGAGACCTGATGAGGCCAGCAGTGGGACTAGCAGCTGCCATCTGGAAGCAGAGGTGAGCTCTGTCCACTGTGCTGCTGTAGACTAACCTCTGGATTCTGTTGGCAACAGGCACTGTCGACACTGTTATTTCAGTTGCTCACATTCCTTCCAATGAATGTGAGCAATGTATGTGGATATGCGCACCTGTCGGGGCAGGAGGCTGACTTCAGGTGTATTCCACTGTCACTTTCCACCTTATTTTTTGAGACAGGGTCTCTTGCTGAACCTGGAGCTCACTGTTTTAGTGAGACTGGCTGGTTACTGAGCCCTGGGGAGCCATCTGTCTCTACCCCTCACCCCTCAACACTGGGGTTACAGGTGTAGACCACCATACCCAGCTTTTGCATGGGTTCTGGGGGTCCAGACTCAGGCCTTTCCTGTTTGCATAGCAAGAACTTTACCCACTGAGCCTTCTCCTCAACCAGAAAGTTTATTTCAAAGTGAGACTAATGAAGGCTAGTAATGTAACTCAGCTGGGTTCTGTTCTTAGCACAGCTTATAACCTGCACATCCCTTCCTGTATACTTTAAATCATCTCTACAGTGGCACATGCTGTAATGGTGGCACTTTGGAGGTGGAGGCAGGAGGATCAGAAGTTCAGGGCTGTTCTCAGCCACCCAGTGAGTTTGAGACCAGCTTGTGCTACATGAGGCCCTGTCTCAGAAAAGCAAAAGTGAAATTAATGAAAATAAACATGTCAGGTGGCTGGAGAGATGGTTCAGCGACTAAGAGTAGCCAGTGCTCTTCTTGCAGAGGATCCAGGTTCAGTTCTCGGCACCTACATGACAGCTAACAACCATCTGTAACTCCAATTCCAGGGGATCCAATGCCCTCTTTTGGCCTCTGTGGGCATTTCACGCATGTGGTACACTTACATACATACAGGCAAAACACTCACTCACACACATAAAATGTAATGTAATGCACTTATATAGATAAGTGCGCCCGTGTCATGCAATGGCTGCAGAGGACAGAAGAGGCTGTTGGATCCCCTGGAACCGGAGTTACGGACAGTCGTTAGCTGCCGTGTGGGTGGTAGGATTCGAACCCTGGTCTTCTGCAAGAACATTCAGTGTTCTTAACCGCTGAGCCATCTCTCCAGCCCAAATTTTTTTTAAAAAGAAAAGAAAGATGTCACATGTGTCCACCTGGTGACCAGTTCCATCTCCTGGCTTGGTCTCTGGACACCACACCTCCTTAGGCTCCCTTGCCCTCCCCTGCTTCTGGCTTCTGGCCTATGCTTGTTCCCTCCTTCACCGTGGAGCACCTGGAGCTCAGACTGGATTCTTTCCCTTCATCTCTTTCCTCCTGTCTCTCCCACTGATCTTATCTAAGATACTTAAACATCTCTGTCCTGGGTGTCCACATCAGTAAAACACAGTAATAACAGAACAACCATCACAGGGTTCTCTGTCTGAAGAGGACTTAGCATAGTACCTGAGCTAGGCAATCGCAATGTCTGATGTTTAAAGAGGAAGTTTCTGAAGTATCTAGGTAATCCCCTCCAGTCTGTTGCTTTGATGCCATCTATGAGTTGGTGATTCCCAACTTAGATCCCTTGACTAATCCTCTTTATGAATTCAGAGATCTGCATCAAACTTACAGAGACCAAGATTGAAACCTTGGGGTCCTCCCACAAAGCCAGTCCTTTCCAGGCCTTCCTAATCCCATTCATAGGAACCTTTTTGCCATTCTTGCAGTGTCTCATAACGCCACTCCCATTCATCTCCAAGCCCTAACAGGTCCTCCCTTTAAAGTAGATCCAGAAAGGGACCACTTCTCACCAACACTGTTGCAGTATCCCATGACTAGTGTCTCGACTAT